TGAGAGAGAGAGAGAGACCAAGTACAAACGGGGGGAAGGCAGAGAGAGAGAGAAAGAGAGGGAGACACAGAATCCCAAGCAGGCTCCAGGCTCTGAGCTGTCAGCACAGAGCCCGACGTGGGGCTCAAACTCACCAACCGTGACATCATGACCTGAGCTGAAGTTGGATGCTTAATCGACTGAGCCACCCAAGTGCCCCACTCCCTATTTCTTAATCACTCCCTCAACCCTCAGCCTGGCTCCACATATTATTAATGGCTTTGATTTCTCATTTCATTCTGGATCTGGATCCAGCCTTTTTCACTTAACATAGGAAAATGCTTATGCTGTAATACTATTATAAACATTGAAACAGCAACTTAGTCTAATAGTTTACGAATAGCTAGTGGTTTTGTAGTTAGCCTAGCTGGGTTCACATCTGAGCTCCATTTCTTACTAGTTGTGTAATCTTGAGTAAGTAACTTTACCTCTCTCAACTTCCTCATCTGTAAAGTAGGATGTAGCTGGTACATACCATATGGGGCTTTTATGAAAAGTGGTTGAATTATTATTTATAAAGCTCTTAGATAGTGACTGGCACATACCATGTGCCATATGTGTTTGCCATTATCTTTTTAATGTTTGCATAACAATCCATTGTATTGATGTACCGTGTGTATTCCCTTAGTACTGGACATTTAGATTGTCATTTATTTTTACCAGCTTCAGTATATTTTAACTTACAACCCCTTCTTTTTTTTCTTTTAATTTTTTTAAAGGTATTTGGTTGTTTTTTTTTTAATATTTGTTTATTTTTGAGAAAGAGACAGAGTGCAAGCAGGGGAGGGGCAGAGAGAGAGGGAGACACAGAATCTGAAGCAGGCTCCAGGCTCTGAGCTGTCAAGGGAAAAGCACATTTAATTAAAACTTTTAGACTAGAAATCAGCACTATTGAAAATGGCTGCTGTTTTAAAATAATAATTTCTCCTATTGGTTTGGCTTTCATTTTAGTTAAGTTAAACATACCTAATTTCCTGAATATTACTTTAGTATAAGAATTAGAGTAACTGCATTATTGCTTCATTTTTCTCTACACATCATATATTATCCCTGTCTTCCAACTCTTCCCATTGTGTACTCACTGTACTTTTCCAGAACAGTAGCAGATAACATCATGGTTTAGACGGTGGATTTAGGGCTCAGATCCTGGCTCTCCCGTTTATTAGCTGTGTGACCTTGGTCAAATTATTTAATCTCTCTCAGCCACAATTTCCTCATCTGTAAAATTGGAACAATATAGGAGCAACTCTGTAAAGTTGTGAGGATTAAAAGAGATAATTTAGAGCTTGCCACTTGGGAAACACTCACTGTTAGGTATTGTTATTATTATCATTCATGTAATCACCATCACCACTGCTACCATCCACACCCCCACCATTTCACTACCAACATCATCACTTTCTCCACTTCCTGTTCTGCTGGAATAGAAACCTTATTCCCAGGATGTGGCTCTTCTTATAAACTTCTTAGAGGTTATTCCTTTTCTAGCATCCAGCCTTTGTTTTTTAAGACTAAGAGGTTAACATTCACCAAGTTTGCCATTCGCACTTTCAAACTTTCTCTAATTTATTATGTATCCCACCTATTTCGGGGCTCACAGAATTCAGCTGTATCACTCTGTCTTAATTATCTACTCACTTCCTAGTCATTTTCCTGTGTCATAAGCTCTGTAAGGGCTACATCCTAAGCAGCTAGGTCTGTGGCTAGCACAGAGCAAGGATTCAATAAATATTTGTTGAATTAATAAGTGAAGGAGTTTGGTCCCTGGCTCAAAACTTTCTACTTCAAGTTTTACTTGTGGACATCCTTATGTTAGTGTCCTATTGCTTCTATAACAAATTACCACAAAGTTGGTGGCTTAACACACATAGTTATCTTACAGTTGTGGAAGTCAGAATCCTGAAATGGGCCTCACTAGGCTAAAATCAAAGTGTCAGCAGGGCTGTTTTCCTTCTGGAGGCTCTGGGAAGAATCCCTTTCCTTGCCTTTTCCAGCTTCTAGAGGCTGCCCACATGTCTTGGACCATGAACCTCTTCCTCCGGTCTTTAAAGCCAGCACTGGCAGGCTGAGTCTTTCTCATGATGCATCACACTGGCACTAACTCTCTTGCTTCTCTGTTTCACTTGTAAGGATGCTTGTAATTACATTGGGCCCACCAGATAATCCTGCATCTCAAGGCCAGATGATTAGCAGCCTTAATTCCAGCTACAGTCTTGCCATGGTCATGTAATGGAGTCACAGTCTCCAGAGATTGGGACAGGCACGTCTTTGGGGGACCATTATTCTGCCTACCACAATCCATATCTAATACCTTTACTGTGTAGTTTCTTATCTTCCCACTTCCAATTAGTTTATTTCTTCTTCTTTTTTGTTTTTTTTTGTTTTGTTTTTTTGGCATCCTTGGGTGGGCATGAACCAGTTCATTTACTTCTATTGCCCTTTAGTCCTTCTTAGCCATGGCCACACTCTGGACTATTCCTCAAAACTGTCCCAACTCTGAAATCTTAAACTACAGAATTTTATTTTCTGACCATAACTTTCAATCCTTCTGTATTTTAGAAAAGTATGTAGGGGCCTGATTGTAAAGGCCTTACTTACTAGATTAAGTAGTCTGAACTTGAACCGGAACAGTGTGTGAAGTCAGTGCAGACTTTCATCAGGAAAAAAAGTGAATGATCCAAAGCCAAGAAAAACAACCTTCAAATAAGAAATACTGAGTTAATTCTGTGTTTTGTGTACTAATCTTTTTTCTCCCTTAATCTGCTTTTAATTAGGAAAAGGAAGAGGGAAAGCATGGACACTTAGGAGATAATGAGGAGGTGGCCAGAATATCTACTGATAAAAAACAGGTGAATTTTTATGATTTGTTAAAAAGACATGTGTTTGTCATAACAAAGCAAAAAGAATGGTATGAAGTAGAATAGAAGTCCCTCTTATACTCAGGTTTCCCATTCCCACTTCCAAGGCAGGTTCTTATATATACCCTTCTAAAAGTTTTCTGTGCATTTACAAGACTATACATGTCTCTCCTGTAAATAACAAAACCAAACAAACACAAATAATTATAGGTTATTCTATAATATGCTCCTACATCTTTCTTTTTTATTTTAATCTTCACACTTAACTCTTGATACATTTCCATATTAGTTTATATAAATGTATTGAGAAACATTCTTATCTGGTTCTCTCGTACTCCAACACATCTTGCTGGTTTAAAGAACACAAGGCCTCTTACACAACGCAAGGCCCTAATTACTATTGACTTAGACCATTTCTCAGAGTTGTGTTTGCAGCAAGCAACCTTGAGGGTTGAGGTAATGTCTCCCTCTGGGACAGAGAGGAGATTTGCTTGCTGTCTGTGATAAAACAACAGAATCCCAGGGTTGGTGTTCTTTTCCTATCACACAACCCATCTGGGTTTCCTGTCCAGAAATCCATCTGGGCCCATCTGCATGGCTCCTATGGGACTTGTGGGCAAGGGAACCATCACAGACACTGTGCTCATTCTGCTTGCTGTGCTGTGAATGACCCAGGAGTTTTCATGTCTTCTGCCAGCATCCATGAAAAGCAGCAGGCTGATATACTAGCTCATAGAAGGGTAAAATGAAAGCCCAGAGCTGGTAAGATGAACTTTGTTCTTTTTAATATTGCATAGTATTTCCTTCTTATTTTAATCTTCTGAGTTTTCCAAAGAGATTTTAATTTATTGGGTGTCTAGAAGAGACAAAACACGTATATTTTGGGAAAAGTTACCTTGATGACTCTAATATACATTCCTGGAGATTTCCTGATTAGTTCTGAGAGTGAGTCTCTAAAGTGACTTGACTCTTCCTGTCCAACAAGAATATAGAAATAATTTGTCTTTGAATATTTAGATACTTTTAATTATAAGAAAGACAAAGGTAAAAAAAAAAAAAAGTGACTCACCATTTAATATACTAGATTGTTTACCAAAACAGACTGTGCTCTTTTGCTTATGTTTTTTTAAGTGTTTTTTTGTTTGTTTGTTTTTGTTTTGTTTTGTTTTGTTTTGTTGAGAGAGAGAAAGAGAGCTCACAGGGGACGGAGGGGCGGAGAGAGAGGGAGACAGAGGATCCGAAGTGGGCTCTGTGCCGGATGGGGGGTTTGAACTCCTGAGATCATGACCTGCGTTGAAGTCAGACACTTAACCGACAGAGCCAGCCAGGTGTTCCTCTTTCGCTTATGTTTTATGTAAAAACTATGTGACTAAAATTACGTAGATGACTTGCCAAGACGTCAGTGAAGTGAAGCAGTTCAGATCCGGAACAGTGATCCCCTGAAAAGATTTAGTCCTCTGGGAGTTACAGGAAATGGAAGTGCAAAATGAAATGCAGCTTAGGCTTTTATTTGCTTTGTTTTAAGTTTGGATTGGAAAAGCCTTTGTCTCAAACTTGATATTTTGGCCTTAGCTGGAAACAAAATGAAAAATAAAAGAGATTTTCTGAGGTGAAAACTCGACTCTAGACAAAAAGTGATAAACTTAGCCTAAAAGATTATTCTAATAATAAATTGATGAGTACACTTCCAACTTATTACTATACGTTGTTTTTTTTTTGTTTTTTTTTTTTTTAAGTCTTTTTTGGTCAGGGTGTCTGGCTTTATTTCTGTCTGCTTAACTAAGAAAATCTAAATCTAAAATCATCTAATGGCAACCATTTCCATTTGTCACAGTTGGTTCAGTATAATAAAATGAGCTCTAGCATCCTGAGATCTTTTGATAAGGGCTTAGCAGTTCTTTTCTGAAGTTAAACTCACTGGAAGTATTCAGGAGCAGATACTAACATATACTTTGTATTTAGAGGACATAAAACTATTAAGAAATTTGGGGATGGGATGGGGAAAGAGCTCATAAATTCAAGATAAATGTAAATCTTATTTTAAAAGCCAATATAGATCTTTCATGTTTTAGATATATTTTTGGAAATATATTTTGTAAAAGAAAGAGTTTTGTATTCATTTTAAGTGTCCTTACAGTTTAGGAAATGTTCGTTTAGCCCAGAAAGGGAATTCTATAAAACTTTCTCTATTCTTTCCTTTTTAGGCATTTCACAGAATATCATTCTCCATAGTTGCAGACATTTATACTCATAGCCGAAACCTGAAACTTGACTGTTAATATAGCTTTGTTCTAAGATGTTTAAAGTAATTTCAAATGTGTCCTGTTGGGGTAACTGTAGAGTAAAATCCCTTTGAAAGGAAGTAGGGAATAATGAGTACCCTATTCTCAGTCTAAATTCCCCTCATGTTGTAACAATCTGTCCCAAAGCCAACATTCAGGTTAACATTCTATACCTCAGAGACCTTTCCTGTGAAAATGGCATAAAACTATTTTGTGCCGTACATTGAACTGTTTTTTAACTTAGTCTGTTTTATCTGATATTATCATTGTTACACCAGCTTTTTTTATTAGTATCAATGTAAATTAGGACACTTTAGCTTTAATTTCATACCTCTTTAGAATCCCAGCCCATCCCCAGCCTCCAGGGCTTAAAAGCAGAGTCAGCTTTTAAGCTATGGGTAGGATACTGCTGAGGTAGCTCAGGCTTCCGGCTCTGGCTCTGGCTTTGAGTTCTCTCTTCCTTTGTAACACCTCAGGGTGAGTCTTTCTTCCTTTTGAACTTGACTGTACACTTAAAACCTTTTTTTTTTATTGTAAAATCTGTATATTTGTAGGAGGTGGGACCTAACCACATTAGTCTAGACTGCCATAGTGCTAAAAATGGGTAGAGCCAGTTTTTAGAAAGAAGTTGAGAATTCTCTTTATTTAGTCAGTATTTTAACTGACTTAACTTTTAACAGTTAAGATGACCTCTGCTTTAGTTCTGCCTTTTACCACCTGTGGATCTTTTAGAAAGTCACATAATTTCTCTGGGCTTCATTTATCCATGTATAGAATCATAGGGTTTTCTAAATTTTTCCTTATTACCATGTAGAAGCTTAGTACTAAGTAGTTATGGACTAGGTGGTATAAGAAGCAAGCAAATTGACTTGGCTCTTGCCCTTTACTAGGTTAAAGTGTATTCATTTTTCAGTAGGACAAATTAATGATAATTAAATCCTTCATTGTTTGGTTAAGAAAGCCTAGATTTAGAAAATTTCTGGTATAAAGCTAACATTCAGAAAAGTTTTTGGACCTAATGAGAAATGTGCTTTTGTTCAAACTGTGTCCAGATAAAGAACTAAACAAAACTTTCAGTTTATTAATAAATCAAGTATACTATATGATATGATTATTACATATGTTAAAAACCAAAACTCAACTGAGAAAATATAAAGGTCTACTTGTTTTATTCAATGATTCATGAATCGGGCAGCATGTCATATAATAGAGAGGAGCTCTGCAAAGCTGTAAAAATAGGAGACTTCTACAAGCAGAAGGGGCAAGAAAAGGAAGTTGCTAGCAAAAAGTGGATTGTTTCAGCCAAGGTCACATTCTTTTGGGGGACTACAGGAGTCTACCAGGTGGATTTCCTTACTAACTGACCAGGAAATTCCAGTCTGGCGAAAATGCAATTGGGTTAGGCATTAGGTGACAGTCTGGTGATGTGGACTTGGCACAAGTGACTCCCATTTGGGGCCTGTTGTCTCTTGGTCGACTCCACCTGAGAGATGTGATCAAAACTTAAGGCATTAGCGCCACCCCTAGCTATTGCTCTGAAATTCTTGCAGTTTTGCTGATCCTCTGTGTGGTATTCACACACCATGGGTTCTGTTTTTGCTTTTGGTGGGTTTTTTTTGCTGAATCTTTGTGGTGTTCACAGATCATGACTTTGGGTTCACATTTTTAAAGTCAGTTATTGTCTTCATTTCTTTTCTGATATTCTGGTCTGAAGGAGATGATTTGTTTGGTGGTTAGCGGCTGTGAGCACACATTGAAAGCTGTATTTGAGAGAATACAGTGTGCCAGAGAGGCTACTATGATTATAGGCAGGGTAATCCCCCAAATCTGGAGTGTTTTTGGAGCTGTGGTTCCCCAGCACCCAAATCAACCAAAATTAAATAAGTTAAAGGAGTGTTGAGGGAGATACTTTCTTTTCTTTTTTAATTAAAAATTTTTTTTTCAATTTTATTTTTTTTACCTTGAAAGAGAAAGAGAGAGTAGGGGAGAGGCAAAGAGAGAGAGAAGAGAGAGAATCCCAAGCAGGTTCCATGCTGTCAGCACAGAGCCCATTGCAGGGCTTGAACTCACAAACCATGAGATCATGACCTGAGCCAAAATCAAGAGTCAGACGCTTAACGGATTGACCCACCCAGGCACCCTGCAAGGATACACTTTCTTAAGCCAAGTGGCTTGTTCAGTGGTTTTATGCAGCTGAGTTTCAACTTCCTCAGAAGTGTTAAGTGCCATAAGTAGTGTTGTTCACAGCACAGATACCTCCTTGTTCAGCCAAAAGATAATTAAGGGCAATCCTGTTTCCAAGAACGACTTTAGTCAGAAGGTCTAAGGATTTTTGGGGGTAGCTATTTTTTTTTAGCAACAGATTCCGTAATACTTTAAAGAGTTGAGGAGATTCCTTATCACAGCCTCATTTGTACTCACTCCTAACCAGGGAAGTGGATCTGCCAAAGGGAGCTAATTTTGACTCACATGTGCTTCCTGGTAATTCCCGTTTGAGTCTGAAAGGTTTGAACCTGAAAGGTGAGCCATGGAGGCCAATGCAATTTAAGGCTATGTAGAGTGTACAGGCAGCATCAGGGCAAGTCCACAGTCATTTGGAAGTTGGACTAACCCCTTTGTAATGGCCTGAGATATCTTTCAAGGCCCAAGCAAGGCAAAACGTGGACAGAAGAATCATAAAGACCTCATCTGTAAGAATTAGGTAAAAGG